TGCGAAAATCCGCAAAACGGCACGCAAATTTTACGTGCACCATTTAGTTGACTTAGCTAGAATCTGGCATCCACCTGGTTCCCTCTTCAAGCTAGCACAGAGGGAAAACCAGCGCAGTCCGTGCCCGCGTGGCCTTCACTGGAGCTGCTGCTTCCAGAGCTGAAGGATGCCGAACGTCGGCTGTTTGACGTGGCCCAGCGGTCGTCCCCTCAAAAGCAGCAACATGCACTGCACTGACAGAGCAATCTCAAGCACCTCCGCCATCTTCCGCCAGTATGCTGGCAAGAGCCTAACTCAGAATCTGAGTCAGGGGCTTCCGTTCTCCTCCAACTGCCCCGGTATCGGAAGGACGGAGAGCATACCTTGATTTCTGCATCCCGAATTGAGATTCTGGCCTGAAGTTCTTTACGTCAAGGTGTGTAACGTAAAGTGAGGCAACTTGCACAAGTGCGCTATCATGCAACATCTGCTTTCGCTGCTCCCTCAGGTTGTGGCCTGTCTCGGCCATGACATCTGACCGCTGAGGCTTGCCGAAGCTGCCTTCGGGCCAAATAGATATCTCTCATTCGTGTTCAGCCGTGCAGGCATGCAGCCTCTGCAGCCCTGCCGAGTGCAAGACCCCCATGTCGACTGAACTGTGAGCCAAAAGATTACAAGCGGTTCCAAAGATGGCAGCGACAACTCCTCTGCGGACTGCTTCAGGCTGAATCCACACATGCACAGATATTAGCTTTGCTTTGCCTCCGCGAGCGGACCTTGACGAGACCATCTCGATGAGCCACCCCAGAAGCGTTAAGTGTTTACGTATTCTCTTGTGTTGTCTTTTGCTATTGAAACTTTGTCATGGAGGTTACGTTTGTTCGCATGTCATGCCGAAAGCCACTCAGATCAAGCTGCTGCCTGCACTGCATGCAAGTAAGCAAACTGCCCAACGCAGGCTTGCAAACAGCTGACTGGTTGCGGAGGAGCCTTTCACTCTTAGACCCGGGTAAACACACCTTCCAAATCAATTGCAGATTGTCGCCAAAACCTAGACTTCCACGACCGTTCATACTACCAGTCGTCACGGGTATCAATCGTTCAGACAAATCCGGCTGCGAGAGACTGCGACATCACTCCAGCACCATCCCTCCGTGCATGACCCCGTCCAAACATGAAACCTTCACAAAGCTTCAAAAATGGCACTTGCCGGCCAAACTGTCTTCTTGGATCCCACACGCACACAAACAAAAGGTATGCCGCTGACCCGACCCCCTTACAGGAAGCAGTTTTTAGACATTGAAGATGCAAGGCCATGCAAGGCCTGCAGGCCTCGGAACATTTCAGGCAGCTAAGCAGCTACCACTTCCTGCTCCTGCAGGCAGCAAACGTAGCATCAGCGCACATCAAAGCAAGAATCGACCTTGGCCAGCTCATCTTCCTGCATGCAGCTGTGCATCTGGCTTGGGATTTGCTGCTGAATTCTAACGCTGGCATACAAGAGCATGTTGATGGCACTGTCCGCTGCGTTCCACCAACTGTCGCTTTCGTCAGGAGAAAGTGGAGCATGTCTCGCACGCCCAAAACCAATGCCTCATTTTTGGAAAGACCTTGTCATGGCTAGTGCACTCATGTGTGTGGAACTTCCTGGAAGAGAAGGGCCACACAAACATTTGTCTTCCATTTGCAGTCATGTAGCAAAGACACAATTTCCACGTCAACATGCAACGGGACAGCGGGGAGGGGTGGGGAGCACCGCTGCCTCAACCAGGTTAAAAACGTTCTTGCAATTTGCATGCTCTTGGGCCTGTTGTGGCAACTGAAGGGACATCATCCTCGTTATGTTCATCTCACCTCCTGTTGCCTCATTCCGCTTCTCCCGCGCAACGGGGCGGCACCCTTACCTCACTCTTACGAGGTATGCACAACTATTCAACAAAGATGCTCAAACATTCATTCCAGCAGCCATTAAAGGTTCCTAGCTTTCGTTCGCAGAACTCAGCGCGAAAAGCACTTGGCGCAGTGCCACTCATGCACCACTGTGCGACTGAGACAAAAAAGTCTCTGTGCAATTTGCTGCAGTCTCAGTTCACGTAATGTTGACTTTTCTGAGCGAGGCGTGCTGTCTCACGCGCAAGAAGACGAATTATTTATTTTTCGAATCACTTTCGTTCTGATTCATCACCATCACTGTCACCATCACTGTTCGGTTAATCCACCTGTGGGCTCTCATGTGCTTGCAAATGTGTCAATCCATGCTGGGATCCCTGACGCTTCTTCTCCGCATCGTAAACCGTGTAAAACTTCCTGCACGAAGAGCCGATGTCATCACGTCTGATACTTTGCAGACGTCTGACACTCTGACAATGGCATCTTGCCAGCAAGGCAACCCGTCTTGAGCACAGGCTCGCCGAGGATGAAGAGCTTGGGTCCTATAGGCTCTGGCCTCAGTACCATTCATGCTCCACAAGCAACTAGACTAGACCATGCAAGCATGACAAGGGCTAGGTCGATGGCAAATCCATCACCATCAGCATAGGCTTGCACATCATGTCACGCCGAGTTGGGCCCTGCTCAGAAACTTCTTAAGGTGAAACGAAACAGCTGCTGGACACCACCTCTGCAGGTGTTTGCGACTGTCCCCACGAAAGTGGACGTGCCGGTCCCTTCTGGTCAAGCCGGCTGAAGTCCTGATAAGGATCAAGACCAAACATGGCCTCCCTCCTAGCCCAGGCTTGCCAAGCCTTGCCTCTCCATCTAAGGTAAGGGTGAAGCCATCTAGCTGAATCTTGAGCTTGGGGCTTTGCCTCCAGCATCCAGGAATCTGTCATCCACCACACTCAACCTGAGGCTGCTGCGAAGAGCAGTCACCGGATAGAGACGCGGGAGCCCTGACGCGGAGCACACAGGAAAGATGCAACCAGTTCAACGGTCTTGATCTTCGACTTCAGATTATGAGCCTCAGTCTTTCGTACAACTCGGGAAAGATGGGAGTCGGAACAGCCAGAAGCGATGTCCCGGAGTCGACCACTGCCTACCCGAAGCAGGTCAAGCTGCCGTCGTGAGTAGTGTATTGTATTCGATGGAATCCCTTACCTGCTCTGAACCCAAGTGACAACTTGAGTGGTACTGTTTGTAATCGCGTACGCCTTGCAGTCTTCGTCGCAGAAAGGCAACTTCTCATCGTTTATCCAAATGGCCTCTGAAGCCACACTGACATGCTGGCAGAAGCTCATGCAACTCAGCCACGGCCTGGATCTTCAGAAGCCAGTGTCCCAATTCCGGATCCAGCACTGGACTCCAGCTCACCTCCAGGACTTATGCCGAGCACAAATGTGTTCCATGAAAAAATACTCTGGCCTCTTCTTGCAAGTGCTCTTCAGCCCATCCGCCCATCGTGATTTGGCTGGTCTGCAAGCAAACGTTTTCCCCCCAACTTTCAACAGCGCCTGTGGATCCCGCAGACAAGACTGCTTCAGATTCCTCTTCGTTATGAGTTGCCAAGAAGATGCCAAACGTTTTGCTGAAGTCACTTCCACGCCTCAGCACCAGCAGACACATGCCAAGTATGCTCAAGGAAAAGCGTGCAGTGAACAGGCTCCTGGCGCACTCGTAAGCCCAGCAGCCACCTGACACATGCTGCGGATTCGGGGTTGCCACATCCGAGCATTCTCTTCAAGCTTCACGCCTGCAGAAAGTTGAAGGCAGAGGTTTGAGAGAGGCTTTCCAATCCCAGGCCAAGCACCCCGTCGAAAACGAAATCCTGCGTCGGGTGCAGCAAACGATTTCCACCAAACAAGCTCAAAGCACATAACTCACTACATCAAAATCATGAACAATGCCTTGAATGGATCGGCAGACATATCCTTGCCGCAAAATCAACAGCAGGAACGGAATGCTGCCTAAATGAGCAGGAACCATTTGTTGCCACCAAGATGCTGTGGCGGCGATGAATCTCATGCTCACACAGTTTTCTCCACCATGTCCTAAAAATTCAAGAGATTTCCAGTTCCCTGTCCTTCATATTGCCCTTCGCTCCTTGACTACGACAACACACACAATATCTTCAGCCAAGCACCTGCGACTGGCACGTTGGTGCTGCTCTTGTCCATGCCCGGTCCACGCTGTCCAAAGCACAGGTCATCCTGCTGATACACGTCAAACAATCTGAACGAGATCTCGCGCAAATCTTGAAGGACCTCCATGAAAACTCCGGTGACTTCCCCAGTGCCAAAAGACACCTGAAACTGACACACCACACACGACAAATCAAATAGCTGCTCAGTGATGATTTCATTTAGGTGAGCCGCGGTAATTTGGTCTCGAGCTTCACCAGCCTTGACCTCAGGTTCAAGCAACATGGCACAGGGCTGTCAAGAACGATTGCAGAAGGCCCTCGCCACACGGCCATCCCAGTCGATGTCGCGCGCCGTGCTGGAAGAGCTACGCCTGTACCTCACATCTTCGAAGCAACCCTAGAAAAATTCGCAAAACCTCCGCCCACCTTGCCTGCGATGCACCTTGCATGTGGCAGTGTGGCAATACCTTCGGCAAATAAGCGACGAGCATGCCGTGCCAACACAAGGCCTTGACTCTTACATGTCGCACGAGCTCGGTAAGATCAAGTGCCCGCTTCCTGTGTCGAAAACGACTGTGAAAGGCTTTGGCCTGAGCAAAGGCAAGGACTGCACATAGAGATGCTAGGCCTGCTGTGCAGACGAGCTGATTGACCATGCTGTTGAGAGCTGTGCGGACTGCCAACCATGATGGTTCCATAATATGCGCTCTTGTAGTGCACCACATCATTGATGATGTCAATCTCCTTCACAGGATGCTGACCCGCCGGAGCATAAGCTGGCAAGAGTACTTCAGTGAGTGGAAACAAAATTGTGCGAGGTCGCCTGCTCGGATCTTTCTAGATTGAGTGTGATGTGGCCCTCAGGCAAGTTGCCAGGGAAGTGATGAGCCTGGCAACGGGCATCCTGTTGCGGTCTCCGCTGTCCAGTTCATGAATTTCAGCCCAACCTCTGCCGCATGAGCATCGAGAACAGATGAATTCCTGAAAAAAGTGATGAACTGGTCAAGACCGGCCAAGTGATGTAGGCTTGCAACTGAGAACAAGGCAAGAGCGAGGTCTCATTGAGGGATATGTAGGGTGTTTCCTCGTCAGCGGCCAAGGAACCTGTGCAATCTGCAGCGCCTGCTGGTGGAAGAGTAGAGCTCCAATCAACCGCAATGAAAGCAGCCAAGCAACACCAAGACGCCACACAGTCCGCCTGGCGAGTGTCTGCTTGTCAGGATAATCAGTGAAGCCCTCAGACAAGCTTCTGATGATTAGCCTGTGGACGCTGTTTCTCAGTGATAGATGGAGTGTTGGACAAGTGCAAAGCCTGTCACAGCAACTTTCCAATCCATGAAAGCCTTCAAACTACGTTGTAAAGAAGGTCAAGCACAATACAGCTTCTGGCTCAGTGTCTAACCGCAGAAGCAATGCGCTGCCGGACACTCAGCAACACCTGCAGGAGCACAATGCAAAATCCAACCTCCTCGTCAAGCGTTGCCAAATCCCGCCTGCATAGGGGAAATGGCAAGTTCCTCAGCAAAGCAAGAAAAAAAATTCTCTTGTTGAAGAAGTGGTACGTATGGCTAAAGCCATTCACGTGGCAGGGGCTCCAAGGAATTAAAATAAAATCCATGAAAAGCCTCCTCTAGTGCATCCAGGGACAGGTGTCGCAGCAGCTGAAAAGCCCATGTTGGTTTCGGATGCTACCTTGCAACATGCCACGAACATGCCATAATCAAACTGCCGGCAGTAAAAGGGGCCTTGCCTGGAGCTTGTTGCCAGTGTCTGACCACCGGTTACATACACCAGCCTCCCAGCATTTAACTCAAAAATGCGGGGCACTGATGCTGCTAGTAACGTGGTGCCTGATTAAGCTAAGGCAGGGGCCAGCAGCACACAAGGGACCAGAAACATACAAAAATACCTTGCAACATACCGGCCAGCAAGCGACCACAGCTTCCGGAACAGAAAAAATGTCGACCATTGTTTGATGCCTCTTGTTGATCTTCACATTGCCATGTCTGGCCTGTGACAGCAATTGAAATCCCCTAAGCCTTGTCAGGAAAGCTCTAAACTTTGGGATCGCTCGGCCTGCATCTGGTGAAGAACATTGCATCGATTAGCAGAATGAACGGCATATGGAGAGGACCCATCTGCGCATGCACGACAAGCCCGTTAGGTGTGCAAGCACAATCCCTGGTGTACAAACAGCCAAGCTCATGACCTGGCTGCAACATCAGGACCTGCAACGAACGTCCCTTGCCACTGCATACATGCCGAGATTTATCTTGCTCCTGAGGCCCAAGCAAGCTAGTTAGAGGTTGCGTGAATCACGGGTATCGGATAAACAACTGGTCCTCAATCAACGATGCGAAACAAAACTTTCAAACTTGGTGCTGAATCTGATGCGAATTGCATTGAAAACCATAGGGCCATCGCGTCTGCCAAAGCAGATGGCCAGCTGACAGTAAGCTGGTCAGCTCGCTTGGGTTCGAGCTGAAAAAGGCTCGTGCCCAAGCAAGTACAGAACTGAAAAAAATCTGTTTGCCAAATGAGAACCAAGAACCAGACTGCTTGCAGTTGCGAATGACGCATGAACAAACCTTGCCAGGCAAACCAAAAAACTTAAAGCACTGAGCACGGGCTGGGTTTGTAATTTCGCTCATTTGTTTCCAAGGCTGTGCACCAATTCGAAAATTGTTTTGCTTGTAGGTGCAAGCGCTATGAACGAACATTACAATTTGGATGCACCTGACGCAATTGCGGGTCACAACACCTTCATGTTTTTGTTTGTTACGTTGGAACGGCAATCTGTGTTCACGCACTCTGTTACATGCCATGTGGGCGGACGGATTTTTAGAACTAGTGTGGCGTTCTTCCACTGCTTGCAACTGAACACGCTCAAGATTTACAAATACTCTCGATAAGCTAAAGTATTTCCAAACCCCTTCACGCGCATTCCACCACTTTCACGAAGCCAAATGCACGTCAAAGCAGCCTTACGCCCGGATCCCAAACTTTCGTTATTTGAGTTTCAAATGATTTGCATCCTATAGTGTGTATTCTTTATGCGTGTGACGTTTTGCTAAGTTAGCTGTTCATGAACTTCAAAGCCATATGTCGTATAAATCATGGCAACATGGCTGATTTGAATTTTTGCCCGCGCTCCACTTTAACAGTGCAGACAACTTCCGATGTGGCTGGCACATTGTTTCATGTGCGCCTTTTGGCGACCCCTGCCTGGGGGAATTTGTTCGTACTTTGTGAAGTTAGGCTGGACACTTTGTCGTCAAAGTCCTTCTCACAATCTCAAACGCGAAAACTTCAAATTGCATTTCAGTCAATAAGTGAAGAAGAGAATGCAATATGATACTTGAATCACATAATCTAATGTTGAAATATGGTTACGTCAATGTACTCCAGCGTGCGTCCTTCTTTTTATCCCGATGGGGATAGGTCAGGCTTGCCGGTTTTGACCCCCTGGTTTGGCTGCCTGCCTATCACGTGAAAAGGCTTCAAAGGGGTGAAGGGATGCAGTGTCGCCTGAATGACACTCTGGACAAGCCATTCACTGCTTTGGATCCTGGTATCCCAAACCTGGCATTGGAATGCTATGCCAAGTGTCTTGTTTCGAGATGGAGCATCACCAGGGTTTGAGAATTACGCGACGGGTTCTGGCCACATCATCGTTGGATGTACTCCATGGTGCGGTAGACTTTGGCCAAAGCTTACACAATAGTCGAGTCCCAGGTTCCTCTTACAAGTGACATCCGGGCCGACTCACTGTCAACCCAAGCTATGACTTTCTGATTGGATGCAAAATTGATTTAGATTTTTTTATTGTTTTTTTCGGGATTTTTTTTGTTTTTGGCTTGTTT